AGAAATTTGCCGACGAAGACTATCATGTGTCTCAAAACAAATATAAATAATAATAATAATTTCAATGAATGAAATGAGGTATTTATATCCCGCTCATATGATTAACCAACAACACAAGGAAGAGGTTAACCATGTCAGAGCGGCTGACATAAAGTTCAGGACACAATAAAACCTGAAACTTACTTACTTACTTACTAAAGTGTATGCAATATCAAGTCAATAAAACAAATAATCAATATCAATAAAACAAATAATCAAAGTTTTAGCACATTTTACAGCATAAAATTTAAACAAATGAAAACATATAATGCTCTTAGTGGTAAATGGCCGTTTGTTCTGAGCTGTATGGTTTTTTGACAATCAACTGGCGGGGCAAGGAATGTACTGGCTGGTAGCTTTTGTACACACCAGAACGCTAGTCTGGTTGATTAATGACCAAATTAGAGGCGTTGATAGATAGGCATTATAATTTGTGGATGTAAGAGGGAATATTTGGCATGCACTATTCTAGCAGCTATTTTGTAACAAATGGTCTTTACAATTATTAAGGACGGTAAGTATTTTGGGTGTTCAATACTAAATCATGGCTAAATGTCTAAGTGGGGGCCGGGGGTTTAAATTTAGGGGAGGAAAAAAATGAATATTGGGTTATAATATTAATCATAGATGTCAACCCTGATATAACTATTGTACTAAAAATTTGATCATAATGCTTAGGGTCTTTATTAGAATTCAAATTTGATACAAAAAAAAATAGGATCACTTTACACTACACTTACTCACTCACACAGATCACATTTAACTTTACAGAGGAATACACTGGCAGAGTAAGTCGATTTGGTCATGAAATTTTGGAGGTCAGGTGAAATATATTGTATGTACTGTCTACTGTTTGATCCCTGCAGGAGCCTACGAAATTTTAAGGTTCAAGGTTACAAATATCAAGTGTTGCCAGAAATATCCAAGCAATGAATTATATGAAGGTACAGGTGTTATACCATTTACCAAGAATACTAATCATAGCTGAGCACACTTTTAGTTCTAAATAACGTATCATCAAGAATAGCAGACAGTATTCATTTAATCTACGAATGAGAATCTTATAGGATTTCGGGAATGAAAGTTTGGAAAGTAGCCCCTCAAAATCTTTGTATCACGTTGCGACCCCCACGGTCGTTTCACTGTATCGTCCTGACGATACAGGGGGAGCCGCGCACTTCGTGCGCGGCGGGTCATACAACGTATGACAAAGCTCGGTGAGGCACAGTGGTGCATCTCGCCGATCTACCGAGAAGAATTATTTGATGCGCGGCGGGACCCAGTAGTGCATCGCGCTACAAGGTCCCCAGGTAAAGATTAGGCGGAATTTGACGGATGTTACTCGTCTAAATTTCTTCGAAGTATAAGCGCGCGCCGCTTTCTTCTCGAAATGGCCCGATGGCAAGTGCTACGAAGTAGAACGCGCCGGGCCTGATCATTAGCAGTGGTCAAGGCGGAATGACAGACTGAGTGCCGCCCAGTAAGACATAGCCCGAGGCAAGTGCTACGAAGTATTTATATTGCGCGCCGAATCAGTCCATTTGATTGACGATGTCAATCCGTCGAGATCGACGAAGCAAGAATGCTAGTTCGTGCGGCGCGTCGAAGCGGCAAAGTCCTCCAATTAGTCCATTAACAATGAACAAGCAAAACTTTAATGTAAGCTCTAACTATGCCACAAAATGGAATTTTATTGCCGTTCATCATTTACGGGTGATACTCGTAAAGTTGAAAGTATTTACAATTTACTTTGTTTCAAAACCGTCGCGTCGACGAGTGATCCAACTCGGCGCGCGTCTTGGTAGGTTATGAACCTATAACGTTCATCAACCATCACACATCAACGCCAAACTTACCTGAGGACCCCAGGCTATTATGTTCATTAACATTGGGCGGATTTGACAGGCTGAGCGCGGCCCAGTAACGCCAAACATCAAACATTGATTGAATTAAAATAGTTGGAATGTGGCATGGAATTTATATAATGTAAAAATCCTCACAACGTAGAAATCAGTGTCACTAATGATATTATGGTTTTGTATCATGATTAAAACAATTGTCTGACTTGTAGGTTTACAAACTACCAGGACGCGCGCCGAGTTGGACTCGTCGACGGTCAATTTCACATAGCCATGTGTATACGCGTACTGCGTGACGCGCTTGTTTCACAAGTAGAATGTACGCGCGCTACTGCAAGCGAGAGGGCGCTGGTTAGAGAGCCCTTTCGCTTGCAGTAGCGCGCGACCACCGAACAAGCGTGTCACTAGTATATAAAAGAAAATCTTCAGATAATTGCAAACTGATTGACAAACTAAACCATCCCTCATCAGAGTGGTAGTCATGACAGGACCATGTTACTTTGATATTAAGTAAAGCTAACATCTTTCGCTAGGGTCTTTAAACGAAGTAAATGTCGGGCAGCTAAATATAAACAAGTGTAGACAACTGGACGATTGTTAAAAAATGTCGTACGAGCAATCGAAAAGGTCATCAAAATATATTTTAACTACAGGAACAACATAAACATGAAGGAGGTACCGATGTTACTGTGCATTTTATTTTATATATTTTGTATATTTTATATATTTTATATATTTTGTATATTTTATATATTTTGTATATTTTATATATTTTGTATATTTTATATATTTTGTATATTTTATATATTTTATATATTTTATATATTTTGTATATTTTATATATTTTGTATATTTTATATATTTTGTATATTTTATATATTTTATATATTTTCTATATTTTCTATATTTTATATATTTTCTATATTTTCTATATTTTCTATATTTTCTATATATTTCATACTAAAAAATGTATATTTTTTCGAAAGTGCTATATTTTTTATTAGTGGCCCTCCTCGTACACCGTAATTGCCATGTTACAATGAATAATAACATCATAATAAAAATAGTTAAACTTTAACATCCGATAATAAACTCGTGAAAATTAGATATGCGATGTAAAATACGTTTTTTACTTTATACCCGAAAATTAATCTCAATCATAAATTTCTATATCAGCGCGGTGCTAGTCACGTATTGTTATGACGGCGCCGAACCTAAACTAATGAATTCGAAAATAATATAAAATTCTAAATCAGAAGTTAAAGTTATTCTACAAATATTTCATTACATTAACTTACTTGGATTAAAGACGGCTGGCAAAAGGAACCAGTTGCCTGTAAGAGCTTTACTAGTACCCGAAATACCGTTTCTAAAGCACCACCCCAAGCCCGATATCAGCTGAGCACAAACGTATAAATTGTTTCAGGATTTTCACAACAAATCAGCTTGTTCATACTAATACTATTGAATATCGCTTATTAGGATGTAAAAGTTTTGATACATAATTTGTAGCGCGATGCACTACTGGGTCGCGCGCGCGCATCCAATAATGCTTCTCGCAACCACAGAGATCGTATGCAGATCGGCGAGATGCGAAGGATTGACATCGTGAATCAAATACATAATATATAATATAATACACGTCAAAAGGTTAAGTGTCTAGTATTTGTGTTTGTTATTATTAAGTTCGATTGAAATATATGCTTAAAACACTACTACATGTTGTAAACAACAAAATATTTACAAAACAAAACGACTGGGACACATAAAGGAGAAGAACAACACATCACACGGACGGAAACTGCTGCTGAGTTGACGAGTATCTGATTGTATTAATTAAGAGAGTTATGTGAGGAGGGGTCCCACCAAAAGATCAAGAATCTTACCCTTCAGTACATTCCATGTTTTTGTCTCATTGAGTACATCTACATTGTAGTGTAGTGTAAAAATATAGTGCTATACTATAATATTATACTATAATATTATTATACTATACTATAACAGTGGTGTAATGTTGCCTGTTATGTTGGCGCTCCTGCTGAAAAAGTGCCCCCTGTTGGCGCTCCCTCACTTTTGGCGCCCCTCCCTTAAATTGGACAAATTAGGTGATTTAGAGGATACGCAGGTAAAATCTCTAAAAAAGTGTGTCTCTAGAGCAAAATGCACAGCCGGGTCAGCGGGGCCCTTCGTTACGCCACTGCTATACTATACTATACTATTACTACACTATACTCATTACTTCATTGCTGTAATCTGTGAAATTTCAAAAGTATTTGATAAAAACCAGGTTTTTTAATATAAATTTAAAAATGAAGAACCCGTATACCTAGAGTACTCACACACCAGCTAAGCTGGAGTACATCTCACTTGTAAATATCGAAAATAGGTTTGCTGTTTTGTGGTACAGTCCATAGCAAGCACATTCATTGATGAGGAGTTCACTAGAAGTGAACTCAGTACTAACGCCTTTTTTTAAAAATTTTTTTATCTACACACTTATTTTACTTCGGTGTATTCCAACAGCCACAATGTTACACAAGTGCAACCAGCCAATTACAGGAAGCCGAAGGATCTTTTTGGCCAGTGACGGTTAAGGTAGTGTGTACCATACTTTCTTCGTCCGAGACTTTGCTGCAATGTGCAGCTCCTCATTTAACCCTCACACCCGATTTCTCGAGTATTCGGCTGAGTAGACCGGGGGCTGCATAGACCACTCATGATCCTTAGCTGAACGTCGACGACGCTCACCCCACGACCAGGCAGTCAGTGGGTTTCGAACTCGCAACCTAACGATTGTAAGACAGGCCTTCTAACCAACTGCGCTACCTGGCCAAAAAATATTATTTAAAAAAAACACAAAGATGAGGTATGAAAATGGTAATATATTCTTTTTGGTAAGTTACAGTGTTAATATTCGGTCAGTGGATTTTTAAAAAATGCAGATAATTCCTCATCAAACTATTTAGAAACAATGCAGAGTGAAAACCACACAGTTCTTTAACAATCATTTATACAATCATTTATACATCAATTTGAGATATATATAATGAAGATTTATTTTTTCTTTTGATTCCTATAAATTTTACTAACAGTTACAACTACAGATTATAAGGCATGATTAACAAGGGGTGCTAGATACTATTCAAAACGATGACCTTCTGGTGACGTGATAGTCATGCCTTTGAAAAACTCTAGGTAAGACTTTAATTAAGTTTATTTTTCAATATCGTCGAATAAAGAGTTTGATACTGAAATTTCTTGATTAATTGTACATTTGCATAGTCCCCTCAAAAGCATCTCTTCAACTCAAAGTCTAATAGAACATGGCAGTATTCAAATGATTCAATTCTAAGTTGAGTGTATTTTGTTTGAAGTAACGGGTGCAGTGGCGTAACGTTGCCTGTTGGCGCCGCCCCCCGCTGTTGGCGCCCCCTCCCTTTTTTGGTGCCCCTCCCTAAAATTGGATAAATTAGATGATTTTAGAGGATATGCTTGTAAAATCTCTAAAAAACTGTGTTTCTAGAGCAAAACGTGCAGTTTTGCTAGTACCGTAGTTAATTTTTTCCAAATTGTCCCATGTCCCACATTCAAACGACGATCAGAGCTGTTTTTCAAAATTGTCCCACATTCAAACGACGATTTGGCACCCCCTAAGATGGCACCCCCGCACAGCGGGGTCGGCGGGCCCTTCTTTACGCCACTGAACGGGTGGTAGGGAAAACACTGGGCAAAAGTAAAGTAAAGTAAAATTTATGACATCACATGATCACACATGTCTACAAAATATCATCACACTGTGTGAAAAAATATATAATAAATATTTCCCCACCAACATTAATTAATTATCAAATACAATATTTAAAAACAATTTCATCAAAAACATTATCCTATTTCAAAAACTTCCCAGTGGAATAAAGATTTATAAAACGCTTCTTTGCCACATAAGGATGGAACCAAAGATAATTGTTATGTTTCTCTTTATTACTGACATAACTGGCTCCTTCAATTCTTACTAAAACTTCATTAGAAACATTCCAAAAAAAGCAATCATTTGTAGTACTTTTAGAAATCATATCTTTCTTAAATCCTTCTAATTTAATTTTAAAACCTAAAACTGTCACAGAGTTCTTGACGTCCGGAGGGAGTTTGTTCCAATATGGAATAACTCGCTCCGGGAGAAAAGACTTCTGGATATTCTTGACCTTTGTCACACTTTTACTACATCTATTGGATGAAACCAGATTAGGACCTGATCTGCTTGGTCTGAACAAGTCTGAACCATAATCAGTCATACCATTAATAACCTTAAAAGCTTCAATAAGGTCCCCACGTATTCGCCGCTCTGCCAGCGTTGTCAAATTGAGGATTTCCAGTCTACGGCTGTAAGGAAGAGTACCCACCTCATCAATCAGACGGGTAAACCGCCTCTGGACGCTCTCCAGCTCCAAAAAAATCCCCCAACTTCCATGAGCCGCAGGTTGATTCCACAATTGGACACAATACTCAAGATGAGGTCTTATTAAAGCTTTATATATAGCAATCATAACAACCTTTTCTCTAATAACTAAATTCCTTACAATCCAACAAATCATACGATTTGCCTTAGTGATACATCCTTTGATCTGTTCATTCCAAAGCAGGGAGCTATGGGTAATAACCCCCGAATCTTTTTCCTGTGCAGATACTTCAAGTTCTATACCATTTACATTATAATTTAAATTAGGATTGTTGTTAAAATTAATGTGCACTACTTTGCACTTGGCAGGATTAAATTGTAATTTAGCCAAATACTTTCCCAAACTTCTAATTCTTCGATATCTTCAGCAACACTACCGTGGTTAGCTGCATTACCAATTAATTTAAGATCATCAGCAAATAACTTTATCTTATTTTTTACAAGGTCAGGCAAATCATTAATATACAGAATGAATAGGAGAGGGCCCAGAACTGACCCCTGAGGAACACCAGATAAAACATGTTTAACCTCGGACCATTGTCCTTCTACAGAAACCCTCATAGTCCTGTCTGTCAGAAAATCTTTAATAACATCTAAAACCTTTCCTTTGACACCAAAGCCTTCCAATTTAGACAGAAGTCTAAAGTGGGGGACTGTGTCGAACGCCTTACTAAAATCAAAGTATAGAAGATCAACCGGGGCACCTTCATCTAAAATGTCAAGAATGTCATCAAATGTCTCTAAAAGATTAGATAAACACGATTTACCCTTAACAAATCCATGCTGATGCTTCGAAATTCGATGTTCTAGAAAATTTAATACATGTGCTCTCACCAACTTTTCATACACTTTGCACAAAATACAAGTTAATGAAACTGGTCTATAATTTAAGGGGTCCGATTTAATACCCTTTTTAAACAATGCTACAACAGATGCAGATTTCCACACTGCAGGTAAAGATCCTGTATCTGAACACTTTTGAAATAATTTAGTTACTGCTTCAACAAAATTGTTGTCATAAGCTAGCGATTTCAACAACTTCGGATGAACACCATCCGGACCAGAACTCTTAAAAATGTTAAGCTTTAAAAGTTGCTTTTTTATATCAGAACTGCTGACTTCCATATCATCAATATCATCAATACTCTCATTGTCAGGTCTTAAATTCTCAGTTTTAGGGAGAGGGCCAGGTGGTTCACGCACGAAAACAGGGCTAAAGGCACTTGCGAGTACCTCAGCTGACTCAGTCGAACTATCTGTGCGTGTACCATCTCCTCTATCTAAAGAAACCACACTTGATTTAACTTGACGTTTATTTTGTAAATAAGAGTAAAAAGACTTACAATTATGCTTCAGATTAGATGTAATTTTCTTTTCATAGTTAACTTTAGCTTTAATTTCTGCTACTTCATAAGTGGGCACTGGCTGCTAGATCTTCTGTCACACTTGTCTTTTCTTACAGCAAAGGAAAAAAGAAGAATGGTAAAGCCAAGAAGTCAAGAAAATCGAAGTCTTCTGCAAAACTTGTAAGTTATTGGTATAGTCATTAATTGATAATTGTGCTACTACTATCATGATTAGTAATTCTTATCAAATTTGAAAATTCTCATAATCTAAACTGGCATCACAACAATTTGAGGTCATCTTAGTTTAACTATTTAATTTTCAAATGCCAATTACTAAATTGTTATTTCCAATGTAGTCTTATAATTTTGTCCTCTCCGAGCTAAGCAGTATAAAAACGTATGATTAATTTTGGCTACTAGGTCTTCATTTCAAAAGTCTCTCACTGTTTTTGTCATAGGTCAAAGTATCATGAAAATCAATATGATTATTACTAGTCGATTTCACAAGATTTATGATCTCATGACTCATCGTTGCAATCATGCAGGTGATCTATCTTGTTAAAATGATGGTGTAAATTATGTTAAGTATACCATCAATTATATTGGATATAATAATACAAGGCTGTAGGATACATTAACTAAAATTGAACGAATACTCAATGCATAAATTCTCAGATTATAAACGTCAAAGTACTGCTGCAGTACTTATGATGGAATCTCGGGTAACATGACCTACTATTTAGCATTTTTCCTCAGCCACAGCTCTTTTAGGGGTTCTTTTCAATCGGTGCTCTGGCGGATACAAAGTATCTCCTAGTCAAATTACCTCTGAGAGGTGTGAACTTTACAACAAGAGCTACTCGAATATAATGTGTTTTCTGGGCAATCTTCATCTGCTACATCTCACTATCTTAAGATATCTACTTCAGTTACATACAATTGAGAGTGCAGTTATTTCTCTAACTCCTGAGGAGGAACCTGGTCCACCTTCAAGGGGGGTTTGCAATGACAGTGGTGCTCACTGTAGCTGTATACTCTCCATAGCGCATTCAACTTTGTTGGCAACGTATTCGTGAAGGAAGATCCAAATCTACTTCTTTAATCTTCATGCTCGTACCGTAGTTTTAAATTTTTACATCTACACTCACACTCTTTACAGCTTCATGGAGTTCCTATAATCTAGAATAAAGAAAAGAAGATTTATCATAAGAAACTTCACTCGCTAAATGTAAAATAAGTGTAAATTGATTTCATATTTTGTTTTTCCATTAGTGGTTATATGGAGCTATTGAATGATTCTCAGCTGTGCCAATAATCCGGTCAATGCTGTATTGACAATATCATAGACAAAACGTGAAACAATGCTGCACGGCAAAATGTAAACAAGAGCAACTGTTTAAATATAAACGGTTTAAAATTTGATTGTTTGCTGCATGCTACTCTCACAATACTTCTTCTCTTGAGGCGAGGTAATTTTAAAATCTCCCGGAGAGGGGGCTGTTTTCTCCAATCTCGTGGCTTGTAACTCAGGCTATGTCCAAGCAGTTGATCTACAGCCATGTGTGAAATTACGGTTGAACTGACCTATTGATTTTATCGGTGTCTTCAAATGAGTAAAGTAGCTTCACGGTGGTCCACTAGTCGTGTTAGCGTGTTTAAAAGTAATATTATTATATAACTCTAAAGTTTAATTCATTAGGTAAGTACAACAACAACACCGTAAGTAAGCATGTTGAAATTAATTATCTTTATTATATAAGGGAGTGGTTTGTGTACTGTGTGGTATGGTTGGTGTTGACACTACACGTGGTTGTCATGGTAACAGCTCGCTCTCTTTGAAGCTTAATGACATAACGCTAGTAACTGTGGTATTTAGTTAATACACTGAGGTACAAAAGTAAATGTATTGACCATGTATTGAATATTTAGAAATTTTATTTTGTAAAACGTTTATTTTGAAACTGTAGACTTTTGAAAATGTGGACTTAGTAAATCTAGAAAAAAGGATCAAGAAATATCATATCTGATATCGTCTCATTAGTCAAAAGTGAGCCCAAAATATTAATGTCAAGTATTCTCATCCATCATATTTTACAGTATTGACAATGTACATGTAGGCAATCGAGGCATTTTATTTTCTTCATAATATTTTTCTAACATTTGTCGAATTTACACATGTCATGTGGCAAGCATTTCGCACGATTTCTTAGTATCATGCATAATTCCACGATGCTCTACATGATTTGTGTTTTACTGAACGCATGAATCTCTAAAGTATAGCTTGATTAGAGACTAGAGATTTTAAGCGTGTTTAAAATTCCTATTGGTCTGCCCCCGGATATATTATTAAGTTATGTGACGTGATTTTAACTTTCATTATGTATGTGTTATTGGACAAATGTCATTAAAGTTTAAACTAATCGGGTGTTTATATTAGGGTGGTTTTTAAGTTAGCTTTTTATTCTTTTTGCTATTAAATTTAGGACACATTCAGATGTGATGTATTCCTACTACAGGCTACACGACTGATTTACTGTCAAGAGTAAAATAATAGTATTCAAAATTCATATCGAACCCCTGACGGATGACGATTGTAGTCCTTTTCAACTGGTACATGACGTTTTATGTGCCTTAGAATCGAACACAATCTCAATGATCCGCTGACTTAAACGAAAACTAATAATATCTTCATTTGAGATTCAAAATTTATGGCTAAGAATCTAATAGTAGAAATATCTACATACCACAATCCACATGGAGCATTGAGCATTCAATTGAATAGTTTCATTGGGATCGTTGGCACCTTTTACCACAGGTAGTTTAAGGCACCTGTGGTAACATTCGAAGTTGTCTCGTTTTGTGGAACTGTCGAAGAGGTGCTCTAGCAATTTTTGTTTAGAACATCTGCTGGAACTATCGTATGTTATGATCCGACGGAACGCGCGATCGCCAAATTTCTCTTATAGATGTAAATTGAAAACAATCGACAATCACTGTACCTTAAATATGCGCGCGCGCCGCATATGTCCTTAATTGCGCGCCACCGGGCCAAGTACGCGCTGCATGCACCTCTGATCGCGGTTCATTCCATTCATCACAGCCCTTCGATTATTTGGCAACTAATAACTATCAATAGAAAAGTATAACCTGCAGCCATTAGGAACTGATCATCCGTCGAAAACATTGCCCGATAAGGTGTCATCACTGCAGGGTCTTGCGAGTGAAGTGTGTAACACTGTAACAGCCTCGAAAATCATTCTATGTCGTTGATTTATTGTGAAAAAACATGGAGCACTGGTCAAATCTGGACCATATAATCGGGAACACCGGAAAACTTTCTAATAACATGGTTAACATTAAAATGTTCGTTTGTGTTATTATTTGACCAATTTGTCTCCTTTTCATGTACGGTAATCTTTGATTGACATATTCAATATTTTGATAACATGAACAATTAATGATGAGATTTAAAATAAAGAATTTCACAAATTATTGAGTCCTCGAAAAACGAAATCCGAAATGTCGAATGAAACAATGCGTCGAGTTATACTATAATTTGTACAATCATGTTTGATGTTATTCATATTGCCATTGGTTAGTTGTCTGGTACCGCCTGTCCATGATAGTAGTACGACTCTTAATTGCCATTCCACCGTATTGTCCACCCTTTCACTTTCAGAAAGTTTCGCTGTAATGTATTTTGTATCTTCCGCTAATGTTTGAAATACGAAGTGAAACTGTCGGTGTTAGAATCAAATAAGGAAAATAAATTTGCTAGAATATATGGTCGAATTTGATGAATAAAATTATTTGAATGGCATAATTTTCTCCGACTTTGAATCACGAACCAATGCAAGGCTGCAAACATGATAATATAATCAATGACTTACAGTTACACCTTGCATGATTATGAATGGAAGTTCCCCTATAAATGCATTTGAACATGGAACCCCTGGCAGCATCCATCTCATGTCTGAAGATAGTGATAACTTATGTTCAATGTTCGTCACAAACACGAGTGTGCTAAATCACTCTAGAGTCGATCTTCGAGATTATTCTAAAAGGGCCTCCGACAGTTGAAACCAACTTCAATCGATGTATTTTCGGACGCTGATTCCGAATCACCCCCCATGACATAGGGTTAAAATGCTCCCCTGACGAGATATTGGCGAAAAACTGTCTCGATCACGTGATATGACCGTATAATAAGTTAGTCTAATTTCTCGTTAGACGGCCCCAACGTTAATGTGGCTCTTGCTATGTGTTGGTTCAGCCGAATTAATTATTATGTAATCAAGTTTATTTTACTATTTTAGTTAGTTGTCATCCGGCCAAACATTAAGCAACTTATATTGCAGTTCCATTTATCAATTAGTATATCAAAATATGTCATTGTAATTTTGCATGGCTGAAATGTAACGCTTGATTTATATATATAATAATTAATTGAATTTTCAAATAAAAAAAAAGGGTTGGGGTTTCAGCATATGCTTTTGTTAAGGATTGGGTTAGGGTTAGGGTTGGGATCAGATTAGAGGGTTAGGGTTTCGAATCGTCGTTCAGGACCAGCTAGAGAACGGGTTGAAAAAGTCACGTGACAGTCGAGTGTAGAGTGATTAATCATCATCCTCACAAACACACACACTCAAATTTTAATTGTCCTTAGTCATAGCTTTTCTGTAACTCCATACACCATATTATGTAATTCTCAGCAGCCCAACCTTACGAACTGAATTTATCAGTCTCTTCTCTACCTCATAGCCACAAAGGTTTAAATGTTTTACCCACCTTCAAATAGACCATAATTTTTGGTACGTACGTATTTTTGGGTACGTACGTACTAATAAACTAACTGATACTTTATTGTTTATGTTTAACGGGTGATACTCGTAAAATATCTGTTCCAGGACCGTCGACGAGTCCAACTCGGCGCGCGTCCTGGTAGGTTGTAAAACTAAACCTACAATGTTTATGTTTAACTATAATGACAATCGAGAGCGAACAATTCATTGTGGCTTTTGCTACCTTTGAAAAATAAAAGTAAAAGTGATGGTGACTCCACAAAACCTCAAATTATTGGAAGCTAGGATAAATCTGCAATAATAACTGATTATAATATGTAAATATGTCTCCAAACAGTAATAACTATCGTGCTCTTCGAGCTCAACATGCTACTCGACAACTTAGTGTTTATACGCCCGAGCTGATTGGAAAAAATTCCAGTAGGATTCTGCAAAACAATAGGATTTTGCATAAGATTATCTGTAAATCAGTGATTTGACAATAGTGTTTGTTTTTGCAGTTTTGAAGTTGCACGTTGAAATCACTCCCCTGCCTGAGCAATGTGAAAACGACCGAAATGAGAAATTTATGGAAAATTATCCGTTCCTCCTGTCACTGTCTGATAGCTGCGCCTTGAACGAGCAATATATCGAACTCTGCTCTAATATTGGTCACAGCACGTGTGCTCCATCCCCACAAATTTAAACATGAACTCCAACGGTCATCAGCTCGCGAGAGATATTCTATAATCCTTGCTTACGATTTCGAGAGGGTGCCGGGACCGTTCTAATTCTTGTACATGTCAATCTAACGAGCACACGAGATTGCTTTAGATGATAATGCTATTGCAAGTGCGGACGAGTTAGCAGGTGTTTTCAGCGAGTAGATGTAGCTTTTTTTCCGCGTCTTGTGGTTGGAAATTGTTGGCTTGATTTTGAAAAAGCTTGATTTTTACGTGCGATCGTTAACAGTTTTTGCTGGTCTGAGGTTTTGCATATTATGTCACGTGCGGTGTTTTTACTGGACCGTAATGAAAATTAGTGGTCCCAATCACTTAAACCACCGTATTTGGAAACATTTTACAGTTGATGGCAATCACGAGTTCGTTACTACGCTTTATTAATCGTTGCTATAGGTGTTATGTTCGTAAATGATTTGGTTCCACAAATATTCTGATCGTTAGCAGTTAGGTCATTCGAGTACTACTAGTACTGGACGACGTGTCGTCGAGTAGTACTCGAATGACCTAACTTAGAGCATTTGTATTAATTATCTATTTGGTAACGGATTTTACCATGATACAGGCATATTGGATTCCCAGTAATTGTTTAGTCATTACTTAATACTTTACTTATAGTAATACTCTAGCATTCCTGTCTCGTTGCATTACATGAACTTTGTCTTTTACATATCCCCAGTCCTCACTTAGTTTCCACGCTAATCTTTTCGTTGTTTGACCTCTCTGCTTATTAGAGCTCACAAATGAGATGACTCGTAGGCCGGTTATTAGGAAAGGGTTTGCTGGGGTTTCGGACTCGGATTTTGTTAGACGGAAACCTTCCAGGGTGAGTATTTGAAGGTGGGATTCGGTCCAACCTTTAACTTCTCATGAACTTGACGACTGTTATTGTTAGTTTACGTTGCCATGTCAGCCTAATTCATCATTTACATTTTCTTTATGTTAGTCATTTCACTGACGGTTTGCTGGCTCTTGTTATCTTACTCTTAGTCAAATTAGTATCCATGTTATCTACAAGGCTGGAAATTGCGAAATTCATACACATTCCATCTACAGAATATTTTAAAATTGGTGAGGCAGTAAAATTTGGTAACAAATGTGAGGGAATAAATTACATCATGTGAATAAAGCTTTCACAGTTTCACGGTAACGATTATTCAAAGCTCGGTAAAAGCCTTACTGATGCAGGCGATGTACCTCAGGGAGCGAGTGGAGACCATAATCCGACTCCGGAACAAAAACACAAACTCTTCCTTGAGAAGCTGAACAGTTGGCTTCGGGCAAACTGTGCTCAGCTTATTGACACCTTCGCCAGATATGACAGCAAAGGATGTGGTAAGCCACTATTATGCTTTTCACCCATTTTTGAAGCCTTGATACTGTGAATTTGAGTCTTAAAAACCCATGATTGCAACCTGTAGGACTGTAGGTTCAAATAGTTTAACTCTATAAGAAGGGTATAGTATAAAATGTATACAATTGTTTTGATCTCGAAACAAATTTAGCTCATTGATTATCTAAACTTCTAAAATACTGAGCAGCTGCATTCCTAACGCCCCTAAACTTCAGGCATGGTATCAAAAGAAGAATTCTGCGAGAGTCTGCTGCTGATGAAGGCACCCCTTTCTAAGGATGAAACTCAGATGGTGCTAAAGTTTCTGTCCGAGAAACCGCCTCGTGCTAAAATCGATTACTTGCTGTTTGCGAGAGGCGTACAAATTCCATTCCCAGTCCGGGATGATGTAATGTGTGAGGTATGCACTGACTGACCGATCAAATAATTGGCAAACTTATTGAAAGATGTTATCATGAAATGAACGAGCTCTTATAGCTGTCAAGCAGTAGCTTTTGCAGTACTTGTGATACCGAACTTACCGTTTACTGATTATAAAATCACGTTGCTCACATTTTTTCATTGCTGCTGAAATGAACAGTTAGTCAGTTGATAACGTTCCTAACTTCCAAGACCCAGGATATCAAGCTGACGGTACGAGACCTCTCACATCCGCAGTGTACCAAATGTAAACTCAAGTTCCCGCCCACTGAACGTCTTGAAGTGCGCCCCAGGTGAGACCACCGAACTTTTAAAAATAAGATGAACACCTTCTCATTTCTCAAGCACCTTAACAAAGTTGGGCATGATTTGAAGGTAGTTTTATACCAGGTGATCATAACACATCCTCACCCTCAGATACGTTGATCTGACCCTGGAGCTGCTCCAATTTCTGGATAAGGAGATACCATGCAACTTTACCGAGAGAGTCACCGCAACTCTGTCTATATTCGGAATTAAACAGCTTGTTCAGCACACTTTCGGGCATTCTCTACTTGATCTTAAGGTAGGAGTAAGAAGAAAAAACAATCCTGATCTCAATTAATTTTAAGCAAAAATGAATGTACATACAGAATAAATTAAATACTGCTTATACTACTAATACTATTATCACAAAATATTATTGTTTAATGTTTATTAACGAAGTATCTCTGTGCAGGTTTATCGGGAGAGGACAGGGGAAACTGAGCCACTGAAGGACGATCTTACATTAGCAGAGATAGGATTTAAGGTCAGAAAAAGAGCTTCACTAAGTTTTGAACCCCAATAGGCAGACGTTTATCGAGTTTATGATACCATACATCAGAACCTTTATAATATGTATTTCTCAATTGATTAAAAACCTTATCTCAGCCAATGGGGTAAACGCTAGCTCTAGATTAAATCCTCACTCTAACAGGGAAACACCTCCGAGACACCGGAGTCAGTGACACTATTCTACGATGTACATGTGAACGTGCACGTCAACATCGAGGTTACCCACCCTTTCTATGCCTGTCCTCTTCTCCTGACAGACCATTACTTTGCCAAACATGAGAATCCCCCTTCCGGTGCTACGTCTGTGTCGTGAAGGAAAGGAGACACTGAAACAAGCTCAAGTTTTCCTCTGATCTTATCAAGTTTTATGTTCGATTTTCATGAGATTAGCAAGCGTTGACAGATCGACTATGATTATCGATCATTTTATTTGAAAATTCCACACCGATATTTTGAATATTGATTTTATTTTCAGTTAATATATTATTATCAGATATGAGTGCAGTGATTCAATTATTACTATGGGCTTAGAACACTTGACGATGTAATCAACGATCTTTAAATTACGTTCGTGGAAACACCTTTGGCTTTAGATAGTTCCAACTGGAATTGGGCCAATGATACAATCGACACTTTTGACTTAAATTTGATAGAAGTTGGGAAAATTAGTTGATTCCACAGAAACTGTAACAGTTTACACCAGTAATGTTTTATGTTAGAGCATGACAATGAAACAACTTTCATTTTTTAACCAAAACCGAGTAACCTGGAAACTTGTTCTTGAATTTTCTAAATAGTAGTGATAGTAAGATGAATATACAAGTGGCAATACAAGTGATATAAGAAATTTATTTCAAAATGGTACAGAATACGTTGTGCGGTAAACACAGTCACCTTGGTGGCTTGGTCAGTCACTTTAACCTGGTCGATCAAACACAGTCATGTCACTATAATCAGTCAAATACAGTCACTATGATCAGTCAAAAACAGTTACTATGATCAGTCAAATACAGTCACTATGGTCATTCAAATACAGTTACTATGATCAGTCAAAAACAGCCACTATAATCAGTCAAATACAGTCACTATGGTCAGTCAAATACAGCCACTATGGTCATTCAAATACAGTCACTATGGTCATTCAAATACAGTTACTATGATCAGTCAAAAACAGCCACTATGATCAGTTAAACACGACAATTCATTTAGAAACGATTAAAGATCGTGAAATTGTCGAACGATAAAGTCAATGTCTTAGATAATATTATGTAGATATGTGGTAGTCATTGTATTTCTGAATCTGTGAAAGTCGCAATTTTCTGTCCATGACTCGTGGTTGTGTTTATAATGTCATTGTTAAAAAATGCTTCTACCCTGTCGCCTTGTATAACCATTCTGACCCCGAGCTCTTTTCGTCCTGCAGTAAAGATAAGATTGGGAATTAAAAAGACTTGTAATATGATGATCTGATAGAGAAAAGAAAATTGATTGGATATTACAGTTTTAATCTGATACACCTATAATGTATTACTAAGCAGGCGCTCGCCGCTCAGCCTGTCGTTCCGCCGAACATGATAGCTTGGGCCCTGGGGTCCCCAGGTAAATACTGTACAATGAACAGCCCCATTATAATAACTAGCAGGAACCCGTCTAACCCTAAAGTGGTGTCAAGACTGAGAGACTGAGAGACTAAAATAATTATTACCTATTTAATTCGCGTTTTTGACACCACTTGGGAGTCCAAATTTTGGGCACTTAAATTCTTATTCCTTGGCCAATTTTTTATTTTTTCATGCTGATTTGAAGGCCATTAAAGCATTTGACCCAGTTAAAAAAGTTTCAGTTGCATATCATTTACGGTTTATGCGGAAAGTCGCGTTAAAGTTGATGCCGTGGTGTCAGTAAAATGGCACGGATCCATATATCCATATATATCGTCTCGCTTTATATATAGTAAGATATAACACAATTTCGAGCAAATAAAATATCAATACCGTAAAAGAGAGAGAAGTTTCCTTGGTGGGGAGACAGGCTAGTTTTGAGTCTCGTCAGATGTCTCAGGGAGTTAGAGGGAGGGGTGTTGGCACCTAGATAGGGGTACCATCTCTTCTCAACCTGAACAGTGTGACTGAGAAAGTATATTCAGGGTAGCTTGCGATCCAGCTAAATTATAAACTGGTCGGTACCATGGCCGTGTGTCGGTACCAGACTACTATGAAAGCTGTGACGGTTCAGTTAACAACAGCAACATCCTGAAAACTGAGCAAGTTTCATATTAGGAATCTGACTGTAGATAGTAAATATACTTTATTGTTTATAGAATGTACTCTGTAAATAGTAGGTAATTAATATACCTTAAAGTAAACCAACAGGTAGGTCTGAGCACCTCATTCCATCCTCAGTAACTGACACCCAATACAAATTATCTTTCTTGACCTCCTTTTCCCCCCGTTTAATCAACACTAGGACGTTGACCTTACCCTCACCCGACATTTAAGTCACATTTGAAAATTAGAGTTAAAATCGAGGAAGTAAAACCGAGGGACAAATATTTGTTGCAGCAGAAAAATGTCATCAATATTCAATATCAGTTAAATTGTTGTTATGATTTTAAACAACATTGCTATTGTACTGTGCAAGCCCATTTAGTAAACTAGACAAGAGAAGTGAATCATATTTTAGCAATATTCGATGTTAACTTCGTGCATTCTTGATTACAATATTTTCCGGGAATTATTTCCCCGAAAAGTCGTGGACATGACTGGTAACCGATAAATTCCGGCAAGGGTTGCCAGAGTATTATGAGGACAGACTGCGAGTCACCTCAGACTGGCTGGCGGGAAGTTTCAAAACAAATACAAAATGACAGTTGCGCACTATATATTACACTATATTGTATCAGCGCACGTATCAAATTACACATTGTTTCATCCGGAAAAATTATAACAAATAACACCTTGGCTTAGTTATCGTGCCGGGCTGGCCCTCTGCTATAAAGCGTCGGGCATTATCGCCCGTAGGACTCAACAACCAAGGTATTATTGTATTATATACAGGCTGTCCCAAAAAAGACGCCCCAGTGAGAAACTCTCCTCAGTGAGAAACCAGAAACCTTCTAGTACAGTCAAATCCGTCCTAATTTAAGCCTTTGTCGGACAAAATTCGCAACAAAGCGATTTTAACGGGATATGGTCGGGACAGGTCCCAGGAATCATTCCAGAGAGTTCCCAAAAAAAAAGACTTCAGGAAAATCCACAATTACCACTTTTCTACCACCTTTTTACCACTTTGGTTTTCCGCAAATAAGTCACGTTCTAGATATCCTAGAAGATTCTAGTTTAAAGCAGTGTGTTTAGAAAACAAAGAAGAACAACTTTCTCTTTAACAACTTTTTCAAAAATAAATTATTTAATTAATTAATTAAATAATTAAAAATTTTTCAAATATTTCAAAAATATATTTTGTTAAAAATGTTCACAATTACATTCCACGTATAATGAACTAATTTTTATAAAACTTTTGAAAATTTTCACTTTCAATATTTTGGACTTGTAAAATTTTCGAAATTTGTAAAGAATAACCACTATTTACCACTTTTTACCACATTGAATCTCCGCTAATAAAACAACTTCTGAATCTTGTAGAAGGTTGAACCAGTGTGTTCAAAACATAAAAGAGAACATCTTTTTATCTGACAACCTTTGGATAAGATAATCAATTGATTAATTAATTAAATATTAATTAAATTTTTAAAAATTTAAAAATATAATTTTTATCAAAAATATTTGCCGTGACGTGAAACGTAAAATGAATTTACTTGAATAACAGAACATACATCGTCACATAGATTAGAATTAGATAACAGATAAAAAGAGATCCAGATAAATGGATTAAACGGTAAAATATCCAAATTTGTACGATACTATTATAGCTAATAACTATTAAATATTAACACATCATATCTCTCGACTTAGTATTGTGCTTAACTATATTGTTAAAATGGTTGTTTAAACAAGACTTAGCAATTTTTCAATCGCTAACTAGAGATCTTATCTCTGATTGTCAGTTTATCGTTTGGAAGTGTAAGCTTCAGCTTTTACTTTATGTTGACTTCTCTTCGTAAAAAAGTTAAATATGCTAAAAATCGAGGACTGAAATCACACCAAATAGTTGACATTTTGAAAACAGAAGAACACATCGTGTGCCTGATACTCTACGCGTGCAGATTCTATGTAAGTAGCTGTCAACTAATATACAATAATAGTAATATGTTTTTACCGTTTTACTTTTCAGTTTTATGTCAACCGAGACTCGAGAGCGCAACTAGAGGCATTCTCAACCAATACTATGTTTTAATTTACCAGGCAAACGAGGAGTTAATTCCGGTGAATAGGAGTTAAACCCCAGGTACTATTTTAACTATTTATCTTTTAAGTAAGTACACTAACTTTTAAACTATGCCCAGCAAGTTTGAAACGGATGGTTACAGTCCTATTCATTATCCTGAGGCCTCTCATACTCTGTATAAATAAACAAACCATCGTAACACAGGTTGGATCAACATTCAACAACCCCTGGTCACTGAACGAAATTAAACGGCAGTACAACGGCCTGACTGATTCTGCTCAGAGTGACGTCTATTGTGTGTTATTGCAGACAGTGATCATAGACCAGTTCCAAAGATTCATATCGGCCAATGAAGATGAGTCCGTTGTAACTGAGTCAGAACCATCTTTAGTTCACGAACACAGTTTAAACAAATATCCATTCTGTAACGTAGAGATCGCACCAAATGATGAATCCTCAAATCGGATTACAGACAGGGTAAGTTATTGTGTGGGGGAGGGGGGAGGTGGTATAGTACACATACGTTAGGCTCTTACTAATTCGCTCGCCCAAAAATTTCTCCGACGTGACTTTTATTATTATTATTTCTCCGTAGCTTAGTGCACTAGATTCCCACTATCGGAATCGTTCTGAATAGCCGATCCTTACCAACTCCGTGGATCCGACTGGTGGTGTCTGATCCAGTGAATGAGTGGCATAGAAATCGTGCAGAAAGCCCAATTACGGTATCCTAACATCCTGTCACGTGATTATCGATTGGGTAATCATTGATAACCCAATCAGTTTCGCTAACGAGATAAACAAATTGCTTGATAACTTCGTCATTTTCAATCCGTTTCGCGCCATCTTTTCAGATCATATTCCGAATGTAATGGCCTATTGCAATATGTTATAGTGCAGTTTACAGCATGTTCGCAAACACGAGTACATGTTGATTATAAGACTCAACGTATGTGTATTGACTCATGGCACCCCCACTCCCCCTAAACGTAACTTGGAGGATATTTTGATTTCTAAGTGTTATTTAACGACCACGTTGCTGCTATAATACCGATTTGAAACATTACTTATACAGGGGGCAGCACTTATCGTGTTTACCATCAGCTGCAGGCGTGGGATGAGAATGACCTTATAGATCCGATAAGCTGGGGAATGGGGATGGAAGATGAACAATGGGGCGCATGTTCCAGTGACCACTCTTATGAGTACAGCTCCGAAAAAGCTCATTCAAAACATCAGTTGCAACTGTTTTATGTTTAAAGTCAGGTTGTGGCAATGCTTGTTCATGCAGAAAAGCAGGAATACATTGTGGATCAACCTGCCTCAAATGTCAGCACAATTGCACCAATGTGCCAGCTGAGGACTCATAAGTAAGACTCTTATCTAGTATATATGGTTATATAAAGTACTGCTTCGATTTTCCGATTAGTTTAATGAAAAGTTGTCAATTATTCGTGTTATGTAATTTTAAAATATTTTGATCGAAAATAATTATTATAATTTTTGAATATTTGTTTAATAATCGATTAACTAATTAATTAATTATTTAATCCAAAGGTTATCAGATAAAAAGATGTTCTCTTTTATGTTTTGAACACACTGGTTCAATCTAGAACCTTCTACGACATTCAGAAGTCGTTTTATTAGCGGAGATTCAATGTGGTAAAAAGTGGTAAATAGTGGTTGTAATTCTTTACAAATTTCGAAAATTTTACAAGTCCAAAATATTGAAAGTGAAAATTTTCAAAAGTTTTATAAAAATTAGTTCATTATACGTGGAATGTAATTGTGAACATTTTTATCAAAATATATTTTTGAAATATTTGAAAATTTTTTAATTATTTAATTAATTAATTAAATAATTTATTTTTGAAAAAGTTGTTAAAGAGAAAGTTGTTCTTCTTTGTTTTCTAAACACACTGCTTTAAACTAAAATCTTCTAGGATATTCAGAACGTGACTTATTTGCGGAATACCAAAGTGGTAAAAAGGTGGTAGAAAAGTGGTAATTGTGGATTTTCCTGAAGTCTTTTTTTTTGGGAATTCTCTGGAATGATTCCTGGGACCTGTCCCGAAAATATCCCGTTAAAATCGCTTTGTTGCGAATTTTGTCCGACAAAAAGACGTATTTGACTGTACTATTCCTCATTTCCTCAATTTTCCTTTAATGGTACTCATCACTTAGTATGTTTACCTAGGGCCTTTCACATAGCCATGTCACATGTGCCTACGCGTACTGCGTGACGCGCTACTGCAAGCGAGAGGGCTCTGGTTAGAGCAACTAGGGCCTCAAGGGTTGGGAGATTTTTGATCGACGAAGCAAGAATGCTAGTTCGCGCGGCGCGTCGAAGCGGCAAAGTCCTCCAAGGAGATTTGTTTTCTGACGCTGACTTCTGAAAACTTAAGCATTAATTGCAAACTATTTTGAGTCCTCATTTTAAAAATGTCAAAATTTTTCGAAATAGTCCTCAAATTATGGGCTCGTCCACCATCCGGAGCGCTGAGCAAAAAGGAAAAAACCTTTTGTCATGAATTTGATTGCAAACTGTTCATTTTTGTCTCATCTAACTCCTGAACACCTCAGTTGATGCTTAAAGTCTCAAGAGGTGCACACAAATGGTCATTTTCCCAGCAGGCCTGAAACCCAAAAATGGACGATAAGTCAAATTTTCATAAATTATGCAATTTTTATATGTGAAAGTCGTTGATTTTCTAGTTTTAATGGTCCCACATATTCCTTGGTAAGTGTACTGACAGAGTAAGGTGGCCAAAAATTTGAAAGAATATTCATGATTATTATCTTTGACGGATGTTACTACATACTAGTCTAAATTTCTTCGAAGTAGCGCGCGCCGCTTTCTTCTCGAAATGGCCCGATGGCAAGTGCTACGAAGTAGCGCGCGCCGGGCCTGATCATATATTAACAATGGTCAATTATTATCTGATTGGTCACTGCAGTAAAAATTTCAGTCAAAACCGCCAAATTTCAGTCAAGGGGACGGCAAAAAAATATTCCAAAATTGAAAATCTCTTTTTGTATTCTGATGATTTTCCGTTTATTGAAGCTTTCTTTAGGAATAGAACTTTGAATACCTCAATCGTGTCTTGTGCTATCATCAGTGACCTTGTAAGATGGTCATTCAAGAAAAATTCAGTCAAAACAGCCAAGCCCAAATTGCGTCGCGGAGGGCTGAAATTCGAATATGTCCTTCCGGTAAGACAACTTCCTGGTTTTCCTGATCGAGTACGGACCCTGGTGCGTGATTGTTAAAATTGAAACGAAATAAAATATGTTTCTTTAGAAAACTGTTATAATGAAAACATCACAGAACTGAATAATTTGAAATATTATTTCATTGAGTTTTAAGTACCATCGATCAGCAGTTTTTAAATGAAGTAATTAGTAACAATTGATACAATTGTGGTGAGATTCCATTGTACGTTGTAACCCTTAATATAACTAATATAACTAATATAACTAAAATAACTAATATAACTAAAATATCAAAATAAGGAATTCCGTGTTAAAAGTATAAATATAATACAATAAAAGTACCTGTTTATTATTTAAACTCGCAATACGTTACCTGGGGACCTCAGGCTATCATGTTCATTAACATATATAGAGATTCGGCGGAATGACAGGCTGAGCGCGGCCCAGTAAGCAATACGACATTCAGTAAATATCCCACATGGTCGACCTTAATCCCATCACTCACAAATTCAACCATCTGCGGGTCTCTGTTGTCGAACTGTTCCAGATACAACTCCAAAGCTTCACCCAAATCCCAACCCTCCAAATAGTCCGGCTTATCAATATCTAGATGTAGTATCTTCAGAGAAACATACTCCGCAAGAAGAGACAGGAGAACGTTGTGCTCCTCTTCACTAAGTTCGGGAGTGGGACACGGCTTAGTGTAGAAACTCGAGGTGAAGAAGCTGGATAAAAGCTTGGAAAACACGGAATAATTTTCAGGTGAATCGTTGAAAAGTGTCGAACGGATACAAAGAAGATTTACGTGTTTGTACAAAGCAAACAGCTTATCTTTTCGTGACATGAGTGCCACTGTATCTGCAGCTATGTCGAGTGTACGTAAGAAATTTTCAAGAACAATATCACCGGATCCCAGCCCAGCCATTATTCCTGTTAGAGACTTATGTAAATTCCACAGATCACATCCCACCACACCCTTAACAAGCTCCATTTCTAAACTTTCAAGATCCACGTGGTTTTCTAAACTATTGTAAAACTTAACAATGTTCTCAAAGTCCTGGCTGTCCTGATCGTAATACAGAACACGTGAACTCAAGGTTTGCAGGTACTCCTTGTGGTCAGTGGGGAGGCGGCTGATGGAGCTCAGTACGTGAGACTGGAGATAGTTTGATAGGTGAGTTTGGTCATTACAAAGGAATGGAAAAACAGTTTCAGGATTGTATTGCAGATACCGCAACTCTTCAATTGGGACATGACTTCTGCCTGACGTTTCAGGAGCAAACTTGTTTTGCAATAACGACAGATACTTGATCATGTTAAGAGTAACAGAACCAGATTCGCAGTTCGGAGGGAGATCAGTACCAGGACCTGACTGATAGCTTGTTGGAGCGATATCAAACAAAATCAGTTCATCCAGAGGTTTCATTTCTCTGACTGAGTAATTGAGTTGTGAGACTTCCCAAATTCCATTTAGCTCGCACCAGATATCGTACCATTTCTTGATATTAGCTCCAGCGATATGATCAGCTGCTGGTTCTAGTAGAGTTCTGGAGTCTACTTTATAGCTCAGTAGGTGTTGCAGGTCTCTCAGTAGCGTCAATAGGAAGGGTAAGTGTTGTATGAGATGAAGTTTGTGTTGTTCCTCTGTAAAAGTTCTGAGCAAATTGTTCTTCTTTTCGTCTTCTTTTGATAACCTGAAATATGGTTCTTTAATGGGTTGTTTTCTTTTAAGTAAACTTTTTTCGGAGATTTCTCTTATTTAAATAATGGGATTCACGTTGATAATGAGCTTATGTGACATGGCATAAATAAAAATATTAATGATTGTCCATTAGTTTTTCTTGTAACATTTCCAACTCGATTGATGATGTTAGAATGGCCCAAAACACACGGTTGTTCGTCTGTTAATAATCGAGATATCTTGAGCCCCAGGTGTTTAAAATCATAAAACTCCGTGCTTCCTTCTAACTTTTTGTTGAGTAGTTCCATATCACGAGAATTAATTAAATTTCACAATTCTAAGTTTCTGAGAATATTCCCTGGTCCCAGCTGACAAATATTTGATTGGCTGTTCACAAGCAATATTTCCACCACGTTAATGTTATCACTAATTGACTTTCTTAAGAATAAGGAGCAGTTCTTGTGACGTAACTGACAAAAGGATATAAAATGAAAGTGACTTCAAAACTTGACCAGATTTTACACAATCGGTTATTGTGTAGTGCACGAGATAATCTGGCACATTATTGGTATTCAGTTGACAATTAATGTATAGTACTTTTTTGTTCATGAATTTGTATTTTTCATGTTTAAATCCTGAAATTTCCTGCCGATAGGTCACCCAGTAAGTCATCTAAGAATCGCTCAGCCGCTCAATTGAATGAATAACGTTTAATATTTAAACATAAGGGATATATTACTTAGGACCAGTTTTACTGCACCTGCCATCGTTCTCTTTTGCTAGACTCGCGTACTTTGACGTGATTTATGAGCACACGGCCCTGATCTACACAGATAGTCGGTAAAAACATGCCTGTACTTATCTACTTGTAGCTAGATTACCTCGCTCTTATATACTTGTAGAGAAAACCTCGTACTCACAATATTATAGTTCAGATACACCTTCTAGTACTGTGGGACGTGGGTGCAATTAATTAAAAAAGTTTTGTTATGAGGGTAATTAGATAACCGCGTTATCGTGGTCGAGTGGAGAGACCAATTTCAATCAATAACCACCACTTACTTAGAGTTCACTCTCAGGTGACAAAATTACTAAAATAGCTTAGTCTCTTATGAACTGCACTACACTATAGCATAAGCAGTATAGAGTATAGACTAACTCTCAAGTCTCCACTTAATTTCTCACCATGTTTCTTCATCCTACTGCCCATACTAAGCGCACTTAGTACAGATTTAGCACTGTTCGAGGTTGAAGAAAAGATTTATCCGCTAAGTCACCAGCTGCTCTAAAGGGCAGGTCTAGAAAAGAAGAGTTCTAATAACATAATCGTCCAGTCAGAATTCTGGTCGCTCCGTTAAGTAATCTTACCCTCTGCTATAATATACTGCAAATGATCCACCTGTACTCACATTTCGGTTGTACGAGTTGATTTTCCGAGAAAAGGAACTTAATATACGGAAGAATATTTCTATCGGTGCTTCAATTGGAACTTTTTAGTTGTCAACCTCATCAGTTATCTCTTGAATGAGCTACATTCCCTACTACTCATGAAGCGGTTTAAGGCCTAAACATGTAACGGGAGATCAGTAAGTGCTCGAATATTGTTGCAGTACTAGATTTTGTTACAGCCTGTACCGTGTCCCGCTTGTCTTATTAGCAACTCTATCTATTTCATTCTTTGTTTTTACAAAATGCTTATCATTTATAGTTTATTCAATGTTAGTATCCTTTAGAAATGCCTATTTTATTAGCCCACTGCAACCGCGCTGCATAATTTGTAAACAATGACCACAATCGTGAACAAACGTGGTCCATCTCGAGCGAACGTTCCTTATGATCACAGTCACATACAGAATTCTAGTATATATTAATATTACATATTCATATTAGGAAAACAATGACCAATATTGCAATCCCTCGAAAGAAAAATGATAAATACAGATCTTCTATTAATTTACCGCATCTACCATAGATTTTACGTGACCAAACAATATGTTACTATTAATAGGCCTCCATTGTGTAAAATACATATTTTACCTAGTTACATTGGTTTTATTCACACAAAAGTTGGCATCATTTATAAATTTAACTACTCTGTCAAATAACCAGTATTTATTAGTTATTATCGGAAACACTAATATCATTGTCACATAGTCACAATGTTGATTTTCTGGAAGCTAATCCTGGAAGAGGACCTCGAGCTTTACAAGCAGGACCCCACCACTAACGTCATCGCCCTGACGTCATCGCCCTGCAACGCGACATCATGTATTACGACACTGGACAGGACTATCAATTACATAGTCGGCAGTTTCTTCATCCTCCCCTTCCTCAGCTCAACCCTCCTCAACCCTCTGCTATTCTGGTACTTTAACAGCAAGAAAAGTAAAGCTAACACTCTCTTCAAAATACTGGCGGTCAGTGATTTCTTCACCACGTTATTCACCCCGCTGACCTACACTGTGATTATGTTGGATAAGAAACTCTACGCCAGTTCTAATCCAGCTCTGAGACAGGCGAGACCATTCTGCTGTATATTTGGGTGTATATCTCAGGTTAGCCAATATTTTTTAATCACCAGCCAATATCGATATATTCCATCACTTACGTTTTTGATAGTCAATATCAAAACGGATTCTATCAAAAAGAAGTCGTTGAACCTTGTGAACTTGCCACATAATCCAAATATCTGTGCATTCCAAATTCCCAATTACGTACATTTCAGGTGACAACATGTCTAATAGCCTTAACGAGGATGGTTCAAATAATCTTCCCTTTTCTCTACTTCCGACAAAAAGTAGTCCTCATCTACCTTTCAATCTACACCACGTACATGGTCATCAACAACACCACATACTACGTAGCTCTCGAGTTTTACACCCATCTCAGGACCGTCCAGAAGATTGGACTGGACATGTGCATCTGGCCAAACTTCGTGCACTGTCTGATTGGAATGACAGCATCAACCACCACTGTCATCTACCTGCTGCACAAGAAACGGAGTCCAGGCGACTGTAAACCACAGCGGAATATGCGGGGTTGTGTCACTATTCTCATGATGAATGTTCCTTACTTTGTAACAGTGGTAACGATCCTGAATGTGAAGTTGCTGCTTCCCTCCCAAGTCAGCTTCAGGGAGATCCTGTTTGCTTGGCTACCCTTCTGCACCTCCGGTCTCAATCCTATCATGATACTGATAAGAATGAAACAAGCCCGGTCCGCGGTCAAAGCCAAAGTAATGACCATTATAGGAAGAAGTGTTGATATAGCCACGATCACATCAACCGATCAACTGGCGGTTGGATTCGTGGTCAATATGCAACACCAAGATTTGGAAAAATCAAAACACGGCCGAGATGGAGACAAATTTACTGAAGTTGTGCCAATGGCTTATATTAAAAATGAGTTTACCAAAGAGTAAAGCTCAGATGATATTGATACCTTCGGGCATATATTTTTCCTACCAATTATTTTATTTTATTTTGTATTATTCTTTAAACTTGCCACAAAGTCATCTTTTGCAGACAAGCATGATTAAAAAACGGAGACAGGTTGAGAGTGATTACTGCAACTGATTAATCATAAATAATGAAATACTCTGCAACTTACCGCGCTGCATCAGTGCGACGTTTGCTAAAAGGGTTCCTCACAATGTTCTCCGTGACCCAATAACATGCACTCTTGATAGCAGTGAGATCGGTCGAGCAGATTTTTGTATCTTTGCCTGAAATATTTGATCGTTTCCTTGATGTTTGAAGTTTGATGTACGAATTTTTGTTGAAATGTGTGAATTTTGATTTGTTGAGGACTTATATAATGATTCAATATTATGATGTAATAAGTGTTAGATACTTTGCAGATTTCATAAACACAGTTTTTCTTGTAGACAACCTCCCCACAACAATTAACAATCTCATCGATGATAATAAGAGTTGAAATTATGATTGCTTACCGACATAACTTTTCTGGTTAACTTTGGACAAACCACAGTCCGCCAAATTCCCTCTAAGCACCTCAGAATGTTCCCCAACACTTGTGACAACATCTGAAAATTCGCGTTCCCAGTGTCTTCTACAACTCTTGAGATCTTCCAGTTTTTGCATGATTAGAATGTCTTGTGGGGTTAACGAATCATAAACTATCTCTGATTTGTAGAGCAGAGTATCCATGGAGTATACACTGAGTGTCTCAACAACATCCAGTAGGAACATAATCGCAGTATCAGGGGAAACTTCCAGTTTTTCTGATATTTCTTTGAATGCTAGGTCTAATCTATGTTTGTGATCCAAATCGGGATCGTTGGGCGGAACATAGCGGTTAGTTCTGAGAGACAATATAGCATGAGTCAGGTACCACAGGATTGTGGTAGAAAGTTGGGATAGCTCTCGGATGGTAGTCTTTCCTGGTCCGAATTCGTCGCGTTTCAAAGTGTACCCTGCAAATACAGCGTGCTATCCTTATTTCTTTAAATGCGCGCAAAATACGACCATTTCAGAATGGTGACAGATAACAACAACATTTTATGCGCGTTCCCAATATTAAAATTCCGATGCACCCCTGCCAGCCATCCGATAGTATACATCCATTTTTCGAATAAGAAAACTTTTTTGTTTACCTACCTGTTTCAATCATAATCTTTTCGTGGTTGTCGTATTTAGAGTTCTGCTCTGCAACAACGTGGTCCCTACCACCTGAAATTCATAAAAAACTAAGAGTGAGTTTGTACTTGCAATGAGCAAAAGTATTAAAGTGTAGTAAAATAAAATGTATGACATCACAATATTATCACACATCTTTACATAGTACCAATACCATTCCAGTACATGAAAAATTATACAAATATTTCCCCACCAACATTAATAATTTGTCAATAACAACTTTCCCTTAACACCAAAACCTTACAATTTGGACAGCAGTTTTAATTGGGGGACTTAGACTGTGTCGAAAGCTTTGCTAAAATCAAACTACCAAAGATCAACAGAGGCACTTTTATAGTTTATCTGTCAAAAATATCATCGAATGCCTCTAAAAGATTAGATAGACACGATTTACCCTTAACAAGCAATGAGCTCAGAACATTCAACATTGATTCATGATTTACAGTCATGACGTATGTGAAGAAGATGGAATTCGACGTAAAACGAAATAACTAACCTATGACTTCTTTGCACTCCGGACATCGTTCCTTCTGTAAAGGGTCACCACAGTTGTTAATACTGTACACATGTCCGTTACCGCACCTGTAGAATGTATACACCTTCTCCACTCCTGAACATAATGACGTTATAATTATATCATCAATTTCCATGCAATATTTTATACCACGAAATGGAATGTTCGGACAAATTCATTACAAAAGGTGGGCGTCCCATATATTGACCCGAGATTATCAAATTGATGAACATTGCAGAACCTCGTGTTTAAGAACTGCTGAAACACGGGTGCTTGTTGAAAAATATTGACTTGTAATAATTACAGTATTGACAGCTTAGCTAGCCAAGCATGATGTATCTGACGATCAGTATTTCCTGAATATTAACAAACAAATACTTTATCCCACTAATGAGTTTCTTATATTTCAATTAGATATTAATCCTGCATTTCAAGCTGCGTTTGTGTTTAGCGTTGTCTAGTGAGGAATAAGTGGGATCTGAAACTTCTGTATTTAATTGGTTTGTTGCTTAGTTTTCTGCTGAGTGGTGCTTTCGGAGGCTTCATTTCATTCGAAATATTATTGTGTATGAATAATTTGCGAAATACTTTATTAATCGTTTTTCTTAAATTCGGAATTGTATTTTCTAACTGTATATATTTGAAAAGCTTACTGAATAAATAATATCTCTAGTTTATATCCTCTATGCAGGGACTAGTATAATATTCACTACTAGTTGGGCCTCACAACCCGAGTGCTTTTCATCCTTTTGTGAATTGGCGTTGTTACTATTTTCCATGGTTTAAAATTTTATTTTATTGGAGTTTTAACCCCATCTTATCTTTATAGGTACTGTAGTACAGTCAAATACGTCTTTTTGTCGGAAAAAATTCGCAACAAAGCAACAACTCGATTTTAACGGGAAATGGTCGGGACAGGTCCCAGGAATCATTCCAGAGAGTTCAGAAATTTTGGGAACTCTCTGGAATGATTCCTGGGACCTGTCCCGACCATTTCCCGTTAAAATCGCTTTGTTGCGAATTTTATCCGACAAAGGCTTAAATGAGGACGTATTTGACTGCACTACTGAGGATGGACGAAAATGTTTTACCGATGTCGTAAAGATCTTGTTGGACATTTTTGGAACTCATTCGTTGTTTGATTGCGGGAAACATTGATCTTGACATCTCTAATTTAATTGATAAACTACTGTTTGTTCTTAATTTCGGCATACATCATAATATTTTATATCCATACAGGGCACAGGCATAAACTGATGATAGATAAACTTTTTACAGGCATGAAATGGGTAACAAAAGCTCAAAATCAGCAGGAACGCAAGAATTTCTAAAGACTAAGTTCCCATCAAAACCTACACAAAGCTACGATGTAGGGCCAACTTGTCGACAGTCAGGGTGGGCTTTATCAAAACGAGCGATAGAAAAAACAACAGGAGAAACATACATAGCTGAGTACTGTAACAGGGTTACTACTAACCAGGAGGAAGTAGTAGATTTGGGCAGACTTTACCAAATCTTTAAAACAGTGAACCACCCTAACATGGTTAAACTGCATCAAGTATTCAAGTTGAGCAAAGAAAAGTATGTGTTTGTGACGTGTAACTATCAAGACTCAGACTTGTTTGATTTTATTGTTGATAAGACTGAAAATTCAAAAATAACCGAAGAAGAAGCAGCTAACTACACCCATCAGCTTCTCCTAGCAGTACAACATCTGCACAAGCTCGACATAGTCCACAGGGATATAAAACCCGAGTGGGCGTATTTCCAGGACGATGACTTCACTAAAATTCTCCTGCACCCGGGACCTTTCTGTACTGAGCCAGGTAATTCCACCAACCTTACCAAACTCTGTGGTACCGTCACATACTTCGCTCCTGAGATAGCTAACGGAAAGGAGTACGGGAAAGCTGTTGATTGTTGGAGTTTGGGTGTGACTGTGTTCGTGATGTTGAGTGGGGGCATGCCCTTTAATTCAATGTCGGAGACTGAAACCCTGGAAATGGTGAAGAGAGCTGAGTACGAGTTTAAACCTGAGTTTTGGAGTACAAGGTCGGAGGAAGCGAGGGATTTTGTGAGTGGATTAATGACTGTAGATCCTGATAAGCGAATGAACTGTGAGCAAGCTCTGCAGCACCCGTGGATAACCAGTAACCAAGCATGTTGAATGAATCATCTTTGGTCAACAAATTCGCACCCAAATTTTACGGATAGTACCAGACCCCAGGGCCCATGGGTCTGTTATTCAAACAGAACTAAGCCATTTCTTTAAATTTTATCATATAACGATATTATGTTTCTGACGTTATTTTTGAATGCCAATTTGAGATATAATGATCGTTACTCTTGCGTTAAACCATATTCGTGAATCGCTATCTAATATAAGAGCATTTGTAGTACGGAACTTATGAAAATATTTGATGATTGTATTCGAACTTTACAAACCACCTTCTGGATTTCATTTAGCTAAATTAATCGTAAATCTTAGTTCCAAACTGAGAATAAACCTTACCAGCATATTTCTCGGAAGGTCTGACAGTGTTGATAATATCAAAGATATCGTCATGAGGCATGCCCATCCAATAGATATTATCCAGATCAGAGTGTGTTAGCAGATCCCGGAAGTACCTCATGAAGGAGTTCCCGTCCGGGGTGAGCTGGCTGGCCAGATACACAGATATCCGGCTGTGTATACCCATACTGAAACGTTGTGTTCGTTTCACGGTCAAAAATATTTTGCGCTTTTATACAAAGTACAAACCCAAGCTATTAAGACATCAAAATTATCATTTCTCTTGACGTCTTAATGCTACGTAATACTCATAACATAAATTTGGACAGTTTACTTAGAGTCTTGACGTTACAGAATACTGTTGAAAACATAAGACTAACTTGCGACTGTTGATAATGCTGAAAACAGGTATCATGTGACCGGGAAGGGATGTGATAAGACAGTTACACTGCACAGTAGTACTTCTCTGTTGGGCCAGGTACAGAAGACATGCAGCCCCTTTATCCAACCTGCCAACATGTAAGGAAATGTGAGATTCAGTGTGCTTGTCTCTTAACTTGTAAAACTAGTTATTGGATTTTCTGCGAGTTATTTTAACATGATAAAAACCAGAAAATTTCAGAAGAAAGGAATTTTAAACAGACGGTTCTTAACTCACGGCTTGTAATTCCCATTATCACAACAGAGAGTACATATAGGGTAAACTTTATCCTTCATATCTTTGTATCCAGATATCACTTCATTGAGGTCCACCATATCTTCACTACACACCTGATGAGTAATCAGTTAAATTATGTAAATTTCAGAAATACTTTTTAGTATGGAAACTTAATTCCATTTGGAAAGGTTTTGTACTTTCCAAGTTTTCATGCTCATGTAAATTAAACTTTTGTCTGCGCTCTTTCTGTTTTGTGCGGTTAGAAAGTATCTCGTCTCGCAAATCGTAACGTAAGCTAGATAAACATAAGGAACAATTGTTGAACAGCACATTGTCGGAGCATAGGCGGTTTATTATGTTATTAGTTTAAACCATCATGTAAACACCTAGCCCATTTCATCCAATCACAAATCACTACTTATTTATCCTCCTCGAGACCGTATCATATTTCTCATTTATATGCCTTGTTTCGTTTATCAATGTTGTTATACGACACATTCTAGTGAGATGGAACCGAATAATATGTAAGAGAGTAGACTCAATTCATTTGTTACATCGTACATCGTACATCGAAGAGAATTTCCTATTGTTGTAAAGTTGTTTAAGTTGGTTAGTCGTATTGTTACTCTATGAATGACCCTTCAAATTCTCGCTTGATCTTGATAAGGGACCGTTCACATAATGTTTGATATTACGAAAGTAAGCCCCATATTGGATGTGGAGGAAGGGGGTTTGGAAAAACTTACGGTTGCTAACACGTGGTCTAGGCCTGCTAACACGTGGTCTAGGCCTGCTAACACGTGGTCTAGGCCTGCTAACACGTGGTCTAGGCCTGCTAACACGTGGTCTAGGCCTGCTAAAGTGCTAACACGTGGTCTAGGCCTGCTAACACGTGGTCTAGGCCTGCTAACACGTGGTCTAGGCCTGCTAACACGTGGTCTAGGCCTGTCTTTCGTAAACAACAATTATATATTTCTATCCTATGCTGATAGGGGGGGGGGTCTCAAAACTTGCGGTGGCTTATGAGAAGGGGGACCTGGGTCCAGAAGAGCCAAAATATGGCTTATTATTATGTGAACGATCCCTAAACTGAAAACGAAATATTAATATCGGACCGTCCGAAGGTTTATTTTGTTTCAGTTAATGTTAGACTACAAATAAGTCATAATCAAGTGACAATAGTGTAGTTATCGACTACATAATTAAACTGTTCACTGTTATTTCTATCTGAAGAATTGGGGACATCTGACTGTAATTTGTTTAATAGTGTACAGGGTAATGAAATACATTTTTTTTTCAGTCCAAGATTATCAATAGCATACAAGATTTGAGCAAGTCTATCTTTTCTCTGTTCAGCAGTTGATAGAATAACAAATTTTCAAATTGCAGCATGGAAGAAAGTGATATGATACATAGAATCCTGGAGGTAGGAGAGGAAATGTTAGAAAAGTATTGTCCTGAAGAAGAAAGATCCTTGATGTTTCCTTTAGCACCACGTTCCAAATTTGTTGACAAATTTCCAGAAACGAACATGACTACAAAAGAACGGAAGGAATCTGATCAACAAATATAATATGAAAACGAGGTGAAGGTATACGATATTTTGGGGGACCTGTACGGTGGTTTGATAGTTTTCCACGGATTCAGCTACACTCACAAACAATATAGCCTTTTCGTAAGAGGTCATTCCGATGATTGCAAGATGAAAGATGACGAGGAGGAAGGCGAATGTGACTTCTTAGTGATCCATGACATGTTTCTGGCTATTTTGGAGAGCCCCCTCCCGGGTTGCAACATTGCCATGTTACGCAAATAATTGCCGCGCTAACGAAATATTTGCCATCTTAGCAAAATATGCGCCGTGTTATGATGTATTTGCCAGGCTGCGCGTGATGATGCAAATATTTCATAAGGAGGCGAATTTTACGTTAGGAAAATGCGCATTCTTAGCAAAATATTTGCCAAACGGTCTGACGCGCGTTGCACGCTCCTTTTTAGTTTGTTTACGCGAGAATGAAATCTTCGCATTGTTAGCAAAATATTCGCATCCTTATAATTTATTTGCGCGAGAGTTAAATCTACGCTTTCTTAGCAAAATATTCGCCACCTTGTAATTTATTTGCGGGAGAGTTAAATCTACGCTTTCTTAGCATAATATTTGCCGCCTTATGTTTTACAAATACATGTCCTTATACTTATACTTATATTTAAACTACTCATGTTAACATATTGATTTAATATTTGTTAAACTGGAAGGCACGGTAATTGAACTTTAGCTCTTTATACACTGAAGTACACCAAGAAGCTACCTATCAGTCTTTAAGTTCAAAGTTGTTATATAGTGTTAGCAGTTAAAACTTCGAACTTCATCCCATTTCAAATTTCAAACTTCAGTACGAATTATTGCACTTATGCGCCGGACGCCGGTTATACTTATAATGAGGTCCAGAACACACGCTTAAAGTTAATATGTGTTTCTTTACCAATTGAACTTTAGTTGATGTTAATTATAAATGTGTACGATTATAACGGTAACAGCTTCGATGTTTTTACAAAACAGCATATTTCTAACTTAAGTGCGGTACCTATGACCTAGACTTTACTCCGCTAGAAACAATAAAATTCGAAGAATTGGACACTAGGGAAGCTACCTAGCAGTAGCGAACTTTAGTGTTCGAAATAGAACTTAGAGTTTCAGTACGTCCGTATCGCGCGTTTCAAACCACAGCACGTGAATCAATCAGGTAATGCCGAATATAATGAGCTGGCACACACGTTGAATAATGTATGATTATATTCATTTACCCATTGTAGTATGTTCTCATGCACTAACAACTAAGTGCTGTGCATCGTGCGAACTGTAAGACCCGGCGGTCAGGTGGAAGACTACCGTAATCTACAAGGGTGGACCGAATCTGTACTTAGATAAACCTAGGGTGGAGTGCTTATTTTAGGCTCCACAAGAGCGCTCCTACAGCTCTTGAAACATGATTATGCCTGGCTAGCCGGAGTAACGAGTTCGACTTACCTACATCATGTCCTCCTTCAGGTCCACCAGGGTCCCGAGTTCGTAACGTCCCACTAATATAGTGGTACCCAACCACGGATACTTGGGAGTATTATTCTCGCAAGTGGCGGGAAGGAACTTAGTAATTTCAATCATAATTTATAGCTCAGGACCTTTCCTGGCTGGTGACTCATTAGTCACATACTTCAGTGTAGAGACTAGTAACATACGCCTAGTTAAGGGGGCCGGAATGGAACTTCCAACATCAAGGTAATTAGAAGTGAACATACAATAGTCTTCAATAGAATATTTAACACGTAACCTATTAGCCCGTCCTAGGAGTACTCACCTCAGTATAGGAAAGGAGTTAGTTACAGGAAAGGAGTTCCGCTCATGGGTTGGACTCTAGATATGTGATGATCCCCGCTGTTCACGATGATACGTAGTCAGTGCTCCTCCAAGAGTAGTATTCCATCCTGTCGTAAGAGAGTCCGTTGTGGAGAGAACCCAGGTTGGTGAGGACTGGAGCAGAGAGAGCCACAACTGAGCATTGTGCCGTATATTTATATTCCCCTCATTAGGAGGTCGTTAATGAGAATTGTGTTATCTTGATTACTTCTCGATTGACTACCCCGTTTACCGACCGTGAAGGGTTCCTCAGAGCGCTATCTTAATTTAGCTTGAATAGTTATGATTGACTGCTCTCGCTTACAGCTCTGTGATTGCTCAAAAACGCTATCTTGGTTGTCACTTTTATCTTGGTCCCTCCTCTGACGTGGGTGCACCAATTATCGTTGGCTGGAGTCAATTAACTTCAACCCGATGTATAAGGAATTAATATCCAAGAGGTATTACACACTGGTAAACTGAACACACACACTGGTATGCTGAATACACACCGATATGCTGAACCATCGGAGGTTCTTACACGAACCACAACTTCGAAGTCTTTGCAGAACCTGAACATTACCGGAACTAAAGTTGACCAGAACTAAAGTCAACTACTGAACACGCACTGAAGTCCACCAGGGGAATATATTGAAACATTTAATCTGACGAACTAAAGTCGTCCGATGAAGTCATTGTGCGATTCAGCTACCACAATTTATTATTATCACCTGGCCTCACATATTGGAATTATGCTAAAAACTAGTAAAAAGTGAAAGCGATCATGATGTGTAGGTACGACACCGACTTTACGTTTAATTTTAACACAATACATTGATCAATCAATATGATTGCAACCAGGTACCGATCACATATTATATTATTAAGAGGTAGTAAGATTTAAATATTGACACAATTATATAACATCACAACATGGTGAAAATATGTCTATTTTGTTAAAGAAAAATTATTAGTATTACTCCTTGTGAATTAAGTTATGTTCATAAAATACCTAATTCATCTATGGATATGATGATCCAGTAACATTATGTCCTAATTGAGTTACGTTTCTTTACAAACTTAAAACTTCGTGATATTTCAATCGATTTTTCTCGAATTCTTTAAAAATATTTGCCTAATAACGGTCTGACGCGCGTTGCACGCTCCTAGTTTTAGTTTGTTTACGCGAGAATGAAATCTTCGCATTGTTAGCAAAATATTCGCCTCCTTATAATTTACTTGCGCGAGGATTGAATATGCGCGTTTTAAGTTCTGAGCAAACTATTTATTTGAACGAAAGCTCAAAATTTACCGAGAAATAGACCTTTTTATTAACTCATTTTGATGACTGTTTCTGATCAGAAATTGCACGAAAAATCGATTTAACTAGGTTTCAGAACCTATAAACAATTCCTTATCCCTCAAAATTGATTTTTTATAGTTAATACGAGCAACAAGCAACATAAATTTGATCCTATGGTTCTACTCATGATATGACCTAGGGAGTTAAGCTGAAACCGAAACATCAAGGCAATCGAACAGGTACTAACACAATTTTCAGATAGAAATGTTCGTTGCAATATGTTTATTGCACCCGAGAGAGTCAGGACCAGAGAGAGAGAGAGTCAGGACCAGAGAGAGAGTCAAGACCAGAGAGAGAGTCAGGACCAGAGCAAGTCTGAAACACAGAGAGATTCAGGACCAGAGAGAGAGAGAGAG